CTTTTGTTGTGATTTGGCGCTATATAAATAAAATTGAATTGAATTGAATTTGTATGTCTGATTACAGCTGTATATTTCAGTAAAGAGCTGAATCCATCTCTTATTTTCCTAGAAAAATATAAAAAAATGAAGAGTGGTTCAAGCCTTTTTGCACACGTATTTTTTTTTTTTTTTACCAAAAGTAAAATAAATATGTTTGCTTTAAGTGTGTCTTCACACATACACAGCAAATTCAAATGCAGATGGTTTGAATAATTGTGCCATTTAACCCAAAGAGAGATGTTTTAATGTGTGTGATTTTCCACGTACCTTCATAAAATCACATATTTGCATTTCAAAACCTGCGAGGACCTCTGCGAAGGGAAATTTATTCAAGATTAGTGAGATTTCACAGCTGAACTAGAAAAATACACATCCATCCAAACATCCATGTCGAAAAGAGGGGCAGATGCTTGGCCAAAAACAAGAAGCAAAATGTAGTTTAGAAAGTGACCAGAAAGTGTGTTCTTAAACTAAAAGTGGTCCACACAACAAAAACTGTTTGAAAGCACACACTTTCTCTCTCTCACACGCACACACACCATCTCAAGGGAGTGGTTTTAAGGGGATAGAAAGACAGAATGAACAAGGGGAAAAATCAATACCTGAAGTACTGTGGCCTGGAGTAGTTAGCGGTAATAGCAGAGGGCTGAGAGGGATGGAGACACTCACTCACTCACTCACACACACAAACACACACACATACAGTAAAGGGAGACAGATTGTGAAACAGGTTGTTGCTAAGGTCAGAAACAACTCTTGTCAGGGAAGCAGACAAAGAAATAAAGACAGAGGGGGAGATATGTCCTCTAATTCTCTCCTATCATTATCCTCAAGGCACTGATAAATGAAATAAGGCTTTTTCCTCCGTGTGTGTGCCTTTGTGATGATAACAGGTCTTTTGTGGAGAGAGATGTAGAAACTGAAGTGCCGGGATAGAGCTGAACCACCAGCAGTCGCCGCAGACAGATGAATGCGCGGACTGCGCCTCTCGGCAAGGTATTTAATCTCTACTTGATCAATCAACAGCAAATCAGTGCGGATTCACAGCTATTTGGCAAACAAGGTGAAATCATTTTTCAGCAAAGTTTGTTTTTCAGCCAGACTCGAGAGTTAAGTAGACGATGAGTCACCCCCGCTGGGTTGTGACATGACAACAATATCTACAGCCTATGTCTAAAATGAGTCTGGGTGTCGGGAGAGACAGATTTCATTACTTATGGATGTGTTAGGGATGGGACAAGATGGCATAAAGTCAAACTGAGTTATTTTCACAGCAGCAATCCCCTATTTGGATGCTCTGCTTCTATGCTCAGCCATTTGCAGACTCTTCCTCTCGATGATTCAATCAGTTTCTCACCTGGAGTTTGAGTTTGCCACAGTGCTAACCCACAGAGTAACCATAATTTATTTTTTCCCCCCAATACAATGTCCCCATTGACATATAGGGCAGTGATTTATATTAGATATACAATTTTGTTATGTTCCAAATGTCTTGTTTGCTGCGTCTGCAGCCATCAGATCAGCAATAGATCAGCACCGAAGTGTTCAGGTTTACAAGCACCTTAATCTCTGGTGGCCACAAGCTAGCAGAGAAAAACAAATAAAAAGGTGCAAAGATCGAAATACACATTAAATGTATGCTTTGTTAACATTGGATGCTTTGTCCTTTTGGATCACACATGAATTTTCCTTTGTCTTCTTTACAAGACACTTGATATTAGCTGCTTATAAACGTTTAGATGATATAAT